TTGGGAAGAGAACAAAGTTGATAAAGAAGAAAGTCCACGCAGATTGATGTGGTTGGTGATGAACAACTGAAAAGATGCAAGTGAAACTGAAGAAGAAAGCTCCCGGTTAGAGCACTCGTTCATTGGCTGAGGTTTATGGAGGTGTAATTTGGCCACACTTGAACAAACTAACTTCATTGAAGCAGCAAATCTGAACTTGGGGTTGCTATGCGAGGAGTTGACAATGATAGAAAAATTAGACCTGGAAGCTTGTGGACAGACCAAGGATAGAAATGTGATTCGTCAAGTGGTCTTCAAGAAGAAATTAGTCCTGATGGTTCAGTACATAAGCACAAAGCAAGGTTGGTTGTTAAGGGGTTTGCTCAACGATATGGAATTGATTTTCATGATACATTCGCACCGTAGCAAGGCTTGACACAATTAGGTTGTTACTTGCTCTTGCGGCTCAATCGGTTGAAAATATCCAACTGGATGTCAAGTCTGCGTTTTTAAATGGATGGCTCAATGAAAGATCTATGTTGAGCAACCGGTGGGTACCAAGTTCAAGGCCAGGAGAATAAAGTGTATCTTTTGAGGAAGGCCTTGTATGCCTAAAACAGCTCCTAGAGCCTGGACAGCAGGATCAATGAATACTTGAGTAACTTGGGTTACTTGAGAAGTCCTGATGAACATCATTATATGTAAGAAACGTGGAGGGTGATCTGATCATTGTTTCATTGTATGTTGATGATCTTCTCATCACCGGCAGTAGTCCAAGTAAAGGTGATTTTTAGGAAGCATGAATTGTGAATTTGAAATGACAGATCTCGGTATAATGTCTTACTTCCTAGGTGTGGAAATATCAAACTCCAAGTGGGATATTGTCATCAGAGGAGGTATGTTTGGAGGTTCTTAAACGATTTGGCATGGATAAATGCAAGCCAGTCAATACACCTCTGGTTGCTACTACTCAGAAATTAAGCAAAGAAGACGGGGCTGTCAGGGTGGATGAGAGTTTGTACAGAGCTTAATAGGCTGCTTGTTGTATCTAACAGCAACCAGGCCTGACTAATGTATGCTACAAGTCTCCTCTCCAGGTTTATGACTAATCCAAGTGAAATCACTTCAGGGCAGCTAAGAGGGTGCTCAGTATATTAAAGGTAACCTGGACTTGGTGTGTGGTTCAGGAAATCTGAAGTTTTCAGCTTGTGGGATATTCGGACAGTGACTGGCGTGATCAATAGATGACGTGAAGAGTACATCCGGTATTATTTTTCTTAAATTCGGGTGCTGTGTGTTGCTGTCCAAAGGCAAGCAACGGTAGCTCAATCAACAGCAGAAGCTGAATACATTTCTGCTGCTGCTGCCGTGAACCAAGCCATTTGGCTTAGGAAATTTTGAATGATCTCAACCAAACACAGAGAGCCTACTGTAATTTTCTGTGACAATTTTCTACAGTTTCTATGGCTAAAAATCCAATTAATCATGGCCTACCAAACATATTAAGATAATACCATGCAGTAAGAGAAGCTTTGCAAGATCATGAAGTTGAGTTGATACACTGCCGGGGAGAAGACAGGTCGCTGATATTTTAACTAAGCCGTTGTCCAAAACCAAGTTTGAATATCTTCAGTTCAACTTGGTGTTTCCAGCAATGACATCAAGGAGGATATTGAAAGGATATCCTGGAAATTCAGAAAGGTGCAGATTTTTGAACTGCAATTTTACGCCTGTTGACTCCCGTAATTCATCAGAAGCAGTTTTTTAGTCACTGTGTTTATTTGTTCAGTGTCTTTTTTTAGGTGTATTAAGTTTGATTAGTGTAATGTCTCACTTGCTTGTAAGTGTATTAGTGGTGGTGTTAGTTTAAATTTGAAATTTGAAATGTTTTGTTGGAACAGTGACGTTGCCGTGTATATATTTTACCCCTGTTTTTTGAATCAAAAACGAGCATTATTGCAGACTTGGTTTGCTCTTTCGTTTTCTGTTTTTCTCTTTCGTTTGCATGCAAAACTAACAAAGAGGAAGAAGAAATTGATGAAGCCGAGACTGGTGAAACAGGGGAGAGTGATGAGCAGACAGATGACTCAGAGCAGTAACTGGTGTTGAAGAAGCGATAAAGACTTCCTAAAGATTCTGATGATTCTGATAGCGGAATGGATGATGAGGCAAGTTCCGCATGGACACTTATCTTGCCCAGATTTTCAAAGAGAAAAGAATCAGGCTGGGAGTGAAACGCTCAGTCACAGCTTAATCTGTTTAAACTTCGTGTCTATCATTGCTGGAAATTTACCTGCATGAAAATCCAGGCAAGTACGAGTATTCATTGCTTCGTTAAGGTTAGCTGTAACTGTCATAGATTGCTGCACAAACAGTTTTTGTCTGAAATAAAAAAATAAAAGCTCTTAGGATAATATTAGCTTTTTTCTGGAAAAAAAAAAAAAAAAATTGCCTTTAGTGGCATTTACTTGGATCAACAAAGGGGAGAATTTAGCAATAAATATCAGTGATAATCAAGTTATTATTTCAGAGTTATCAAAGCTGCTTCCTACTACCAGTGTTTCTGGACTTAATCTAATGTCTTGTCCTTGGAATGATTTGTTTTATGTTAATAGGTAATTTAGAAGAATGATTCTAAAAAATTTGCAATGTTCATGTAACAATGATTTTTTTTCATTTTTGACTATTTCCCGCCTCTGATTTGTGGTATGTGTTTTGAATTGTTTTCGTTTCACAGGTAAGCCCCAGGTTCTGATGGTGTACTCAAACTTGGCTCAGGCATTTGTTAACCCACATACTGCTGAAGGTAGTGGGCAGCTTGAACAACGTGTATGGGGAATTCTACAGAAGAAAATATTCAAGGCGAAAGACTTCCCTAAGGGTGAATCTGTGCCACTATCTACTCTTGAATCTTTGTTGGAGAGAAACTTAAAATTGGCAGCAAGACCATTCAAGAGAAAGAAATCTGCTGCTAATCCATCTAAGAAGAAGCGGTCAGCTTACTGGAACAGATACAAAATGATCGTCTCCCTGGCTCAGAATTCAACCTTTTGGCTTCTGAAGATCATCGATGCTAGAAAATTTTCGAGTCTGAATTGCAGAAGGTTTATGATATTTTCCCAACTGTGTTGGCTGGTTATTGTGACAGTAAAAAGTCTCAAATAAAATCTGAATTTTTAAAAGAAATATTTCAAAGAAGACCATGAATTGGGCATCATCTCTTCAGCTTCATACTGGAAAAATGTGGCAGTGCAAAATCAGGATTTCGTCAAGTTGAGGCACTGGATTTGGTGATGGAGATATTGAAGTCAGTGGTTCTGTTAAGATCAGATGAAGCCAGCCGGGATGCATCAAAGAAAGCCTTGAAGAGCCACCTCCGAAATCTCAGTCGTCTGATAAAGGAGTTGGGGACACATATGCCTGAGAAGCAGTCAAGGAAATCTGAAGTACGTAAGTTCTGTTCTAAGATCTTTCAAATGGTGTCAAGTCTTAACCTAACCAAGTCCTTTCTTAAAGATTTGACCCCTGATGCACTCGCTGCTTATGAATCTGAACTTGGTGACGCATTTCTTAATCTGAAGAAAGTGGAATGAGATTGGTTAAGAGTAAATATTTTGGAAAGATATTTAGCGAAATTCATTCGAATACTACATTGTTGGAAAACTTCAATTTAACCACTGCATACTCCGTACTGGAAGGCAAAATGTATGAGTTAATCCAGTATTTTTGTTGCTAAACAGTTTCAGGTAGACGTTTTGCTGATAGAACTTGATAGTCACTTTTTAAAGAAAATGAAATAGGAAGGCTGCAATATCATGTGATGAAACTTGATGTTGGTAAAAATGTTAAAAAGATTAATGGGTTTATTTGTTATTGATAAAGGAAGAGACTGATAATGGTGAAAAAAGATTTTGAATGTGTTATGTAGTAATTCTGGTACTATAAATACTCAGATTATGACGTTAAAATTATTTTTATGAGAACAAGAACAAAGTGGCATTATATTATGCCGACGAAATCAGCTGCAATGATCTCTTGAATATGTGGGGGGCCAAAATTTCAGGTATTCCCAGTGCAGAAAAGCTTTCACAACCAAAGAGATTCTGGAGTCTTGCATTACATAGTATCACCATTCGGTTATTTTCACTTGCAACCATTTCATGTAAAACAGAATTGGAATTGCTAAATTCATTATCAGTACCATTTCATGTACTCTGATGGAAGAGCAATTTGAGTTGTCATAACAAAATGAAATCTATTTTACTCGAAAATTTTTAATCCTCGAATATATTTGGACTGTTCTTTCTTTAACCTTAAGTCCTAATGTCAACAGATTAGCGAGACTGAAAGTAAATTTTGGAGAAGTCTAAAGCAAATTTTTAATTTTAATCCTTTTGTTCAACATCAGAACTTAAAATTTTCAACTCTTAAATTCAAGTTTTAAGTTACTTTCTGGGTCGTACTATCTGTATAACTTGTGTTTTATATTAATGTAGATGCCGAATGAAACAAATATAGAATTAGAAGGAATATAAAAATAATTATATCTTTCAAAACTTCTTTATCTACAAGTTTTCTCGAGGGTAGCATTTGGTACTGTTAAGTGCAGATTTGGAAATAAAAAATTCAATCATGCAAGTCTTGGTCATCCACTATAGTAAGTGTAAACATTCCCAGTCTTGGTCATGCACTAACTAACGGAGAACAAAGTTTTAAACTACTCTTAAGAAAGCTAGAAAAATTGATCAGACCAAGGTAACATACTCACTTTTCTGAATGAAATCTGAAGAACAGAAATTCAATTTTCTGAATGAAGAGAAACGAGAAAGAACTTAAAAAATGCAGTAACAATCAAGGTTAAATCAAAATTGAAATTACCAAGGCCTTTCAAAAAATTAATGCTGCGCTCGTTTATAGTTGATTGCTTACACTGACAGAAAACATAGAAGATAAAAAAGGGAAAAAAAAAAAAAAAAGGTACAGCACATATATAGTCAACACTCTTGACAAAGCTAAAAGCACTAACCCCTTCTTCCCCCACGTTTCTTGTTCGACCTTCTCCCCTTTCGACGGTGTTCTCCCTCGACTATACTTACAATCCAATGAGGCTTTCCTGTTGAAAATACAAGATATCCCATGATCAATCCAAAAACCATTCCACATCCATAGCCCATCAACACCGCTTTCCAACCAAATCCAATTGAAGACTCTACATCATCTTCTAATTTTGAAGGTGGTTGTAGTGTCTCATCACTTTTGCATTCTTTTGACAATGGAAATCCACACAATCCCAGGTTTCCCGCGTATGAAGTATTTCCAAAGGTATCAAAGTGGGGTAGTCGTGGAATGGGCCCTGTGAGTTGGTTTTGAGACAAGTTTGGCACTCCAAGAAAATTTAAATTTGCTAACTGCCATGGAAGTTATTATTTGAAAAATCAATTGCAGTGAGAGTAGTGATAATTTTCACAAGTTCAAACTGAAGCCCTTTCATTGTCACTGTAATGGAATCTTGATAATAACTTTCACCCATATACTACAACTTTCTCTTTGCTTCACCAACATCCTTCATGGCATTTAGATTTTCGAAATACCTGGCTGACAATGGACCACCAAATTTGTTGTTTGAGAGGTCAAATACTTTCAACTTTGGAAAATAGTGCTTCGTCTTTGAGCAACCCCATATAGAACCGTAAAATTGATTTGAATGAAGGACCAGAACTTGCAACTCAGGAAGACTTTCTAGCCAATAGGGGAAGGTATCATTTACCTTGTTGTTACCAATATCTAGAACTTGAAGCATCGTACAATTGACTAGAGATTGTGGGATTGGCCCTTCCAATTCATTCTCATTGATGTTAAAGGTCCTCAAAGGACTGCCCTTTGCAAATTTTCCAGGAATGGTGCCATAGAGTTTATTTTTCTATAAATCCAACACACGAAGATTGCTAAAGCTTCCCATGCATGTTGGAATCTTACCACTCAAACTATTACTATAAAGATCTAGAATTTCTATTATACTCATATTGCAGATCATATGAGATATCTCCCCAGTCAATTTGTTGTTTGACAAGAATAATACTATCAAGAAAGGTGGTGGAACTGGAAGTGATCCGTGGAGCAAGTTGAACCGAAGGTCTAGATGGAGAAGATTCTTCCAGGGAAGCTGGTCTATGCCGGTTAGGTTGTTGTGGGAAAGATTTAGAAATTGCAAAGTATCCATTCCAACATCCCCCATCCAATTAGGTATCTGACCCCTGATTTTATTGTCAGAAAGATCCAGTTCCTGTAATTGGTTTAAACTTCTTAAAATACCTGGGAATTCTGTCAAGTTGCAACCAGATAAGTGCAAATCGTAAAGTTGTGGAAAGGACGAATTGGCTTTGAATGCAGTGTTAATGGATAGGCTATTATAAGAAAGATCAAGCAATCCAAGGTTTTTTAGGTTTGAGAACAAGTGAAGCTCTACAATTCCACTTAAATTGTTTGAAGAAAGATCGAGAATGGATAAATTCACAATTTCAAAGATTGAACTTGGAATAGAGCCATTCAGTCTATTATCATCCAAATAAATGATTTGCAATAATGGTAGAGTGAATAACGAAGATGGTATTGGTCCAGTGAGTTGATTACTTGACAAGTGTAAAGAAGAAAGTTACCTTAAGTTGACAAAAATATCTGGAATTTCACCAATCAAATTATTATACGACAGAAGCAAATAACCAAGTTGTGTAAGGTAGCCAAGAGAGGCAGGAATTGACCCAACGAGTGTGCAGTTTCTGAGATTCAATCCCCTCAAGAAAAAGAGATTGCTGATTGAATTAGGTGATTGGTCTGAAAAGCTCATGTCAGAGACATCCAAAAACTCGAGTGGGCTGCTCCAATTAACTTTAGGAAAATTACCTATCAAGTTGAAGTTATTACCTAACCCAAGGATCTTCATATTTGGTAGGTGGAAGATGCATTCTGGCACGTTCCCTTGTAGTTCACACCTTTGGAGACTGAGAGAAGTTAGAGACGAAGATATATTCGTCAATGAACTAGGTACAATGGTAGACATGTCAACATTGCAAGAGCAAGGTCTGTTAACACTGTCAGATTTTGAACTAGCCTGTCGAAAACATCTCTTTCAATTATCAAACCGTTTTCACTCATCAAAGTATGCCTCGTATTGCCTGTGACGTAACCAACGACCGAAAGGTCAAGTGAAACCAATTTAGACAAATGGGAGACCTTAGATGGAATTTGACCACCAAAGTTTGAGGTAGAGAGATTAAGATGTCTCAAACTCGTCAATCGACCAAAATTAGAAGAAATTGGAGAGAGATTAAAATCTTTGAAAGCAAGATTGAGTCTTTTCAATTGAGGAAGAAGAAAAAGGCTAATGTTGGAAGGGATGTTGCCAGAAAGCCAACTACAGCTAAGGTCTAGGCCAATCACATGACCTGTCACCAAATCACATGTAACACCATCCCATGAGCAACAATCATAATCCTCTTTCCAAGATATCATTTTTGGATAAGAAGGAACATCTGCAAAAATGATACAATACTCTGAGGAATCATTTTTGAAGGAAAAGAGTTGCTTGAACTGAAGTAATGCAGAACTCTGGTGATGAGACCAGAGTGCTGCAGAAGTATGAGAATAAAAGAGGAATAATTGGAGGAAGAGAAGTTGATAGGGCCATGCTAGACAACCCATTTTTGTTTATGATGAATCACAAGAAACGATATGATTATAAATAGAAAGAGAATTGGAAACTAAAGTAAAGTTTACACATGTAAGGAGACTTGAATTCGTGGTTAATGCACGTCAAAAAGTAAAGTCTTCCATGTGCAAAACACATGATAGGGTTGATGCAGAAAAGAAAGCCCATTATTCATGAGTTTAAATTTGACAAAGTGGAATGCAATATTAGTTTCTACTATGGTCTTTGTCATATTAAGCATACAGAAACTTCTTCAAACAGTTTAATTACCATGTAAAAGTCTTGGTCTATTAACAAAAAAACGGTGGTGCATGCACTAAACATGAAGTCACTTTCTTGGTTGCAATTTAAACAGTAAATCACATTTTGTAAAAGAAGTACATATACGATCATAGATGGTGCTACAAAAGGTCAATAATGTTCACTTTTTTGGATTGATAATCATGCTAGACTTTGTATTATTCACTTAGTAATTACGTGAAGTGCTAATTAATGATCTTTTGATAAACTTAAAGCATACTAGTATTGTTTGTTTTGTGATCAGTGAAATTTGTAAATATAAATAGTGAAGGTGATAAGATGAATATAGCCTAAATTTATCATACAAAACAAACAATTAATTATTCAATTAGGCTCAATTAAGCTTCCTTGAAAAAGAAAATGAAAATGAAAGTTCACTTCTGTGATAGTCTGATTAATGTTGCTGCCCCCTGCGTAGCAAGGAACAAGGCATTCTATTACAAGGAAGAGCATTGTGCTTTTATTTGCTTATGCATTAATTATATCGTGTGGGGATTCTGTTATAAGAGATCAAGTTGGTTTTATCTATTAAAACTCTTTTTCTTTATGGCGAAAATTACATAAGCAATTGTCTTTGTCCAAATAATAAGGGTCCTTAAATGGAGAAAAAAATAGGTATATATGGAAATTAATTGTAGGCAGAGAAACTGATAAGCCCGTCTGAGGAACATCATCTTTATGCATGAAATCACAGCTCTACCATCGTGAATAATCCTGGCCGTATAATTGTGCAGCCATAAAATTCTAAACGTTCAACCGCTATTCATTCACACAACTATTCATCGGAGTAACTTAGCCCCACAAACAAAAAACAAAATTAAAGCTCACAACATTTATAATCTGATGGATGTTAATTACTTCCCCTGGAATGTAAGAAACAGGGCATTCTATTATAATGATTGGTGGATCAATGGAATATTCATGGTAAACGATTCTAATAGCCTGTTAAACCAATGTTTTAGTTGTCAAGGTAGAACAAGTTTGAAGCTTTGAAAACTAAAGTTTATAAAATTAGCGAAACAAATTATAAATAAATTACCATGAATACTGCAATTCTATTTCTTCTCAAAATCAAATCACCTTATCTCGTCTCAAAAATGGAGTAACAAAACAATTTAAAAGAAAAGTCATATCTGGGAACATCTTGCGAGAATTAAGAGGAGTTTCGTTCTTGAGAGGAGGAGGCTAGGAATCACGACAGAGAATAACAAGTTGCATTTTATAAGAGCGATCCAGTGTGCCAAGGACTACTCTTGTAGGATGCATGAGTTCAAGAATAAGAACTAAAACTATTCTGCCACGTCTCATAAAGTACCTATTATAATATTCTATCTGGTCGGGTTGGAACTATCACGTTTCCTGATTAACCCGACTTGACCATTGATTTGGTATTCTATTTAACCCAATCTTTTCGGGTCGGATTTTTGCCCACCGTTTAAACTCCCAATACACTTACAACTTGACAGACAATAGTGTAAAATTAACAGATTTTTGACTTCAGGACACAAACTAAATAATAAAATAATAAAATGTAACTTATTTTAAAAATATATATAGTTAATTTTATTCAACATAATCTTAGACGAATTCTTGGATTCTCTGACAATGCTCCACCGCATATCCCACCAGCACTTCAACAAAGTATCTCTCCACGCCAAGCTCAATGCACTGTCTTCTTCAGGGAAAAGTGATGCTGTTGGTGACCATGCGTGGCTCGTCATTTTTACATTTCTTTGACAATGGCGGTCCACACAACCCAGGTTTCCAATATAGGAGTCACTTTGTAATGTATTAAACTGATTTCCTTGAGGTATAAATCTCACAAGCTGGTTGTATGAAAGGTTCAATATTGAAATAAATGATAAACTTGCAATCAAATCTAACTAAACAATCAGAACTAGAATAGAAAGTATATAGGCTTCATCAGACTAAATAAAAATATTTCTCAGAATCCATGTTGTATCAGACAAACAAACAAACAGAAGATCCAGTGCACTGAATTATAATCTGTGCTAGTATACTTAATTACCCATTATTCATGAGTTTAAATTTGACCAAGTGCAATGCAATACTAGTTTCTACTATGGTCTTTGTTATCTTAAACATACAAAAACTTAATCAAATGCTTTAGGTTCATCAAATAATTTAATTAGTGCATAAAAGTCTTGTTCTATTAACCAAAAAGCAGTAGTACATGCACTAAACATGAAGTCACTTTCTTGGTTGCAATTTAAACAATAAATCATATTTTGTAGAAGTACACATGCGATCATAGACGGTGCTACAGAAGGTCAATGATGTTCACTTTTGTGGTTGATAATCATGCTAGACTTTGTATTATTCACTTAGTAATTACATTAAGTGCTAATTAATGATCTTTTGATAAACTTAAAGCAGACTAGTATTACTTGTTTTGTGATTAGTGAAGTTTGTGAATATAAATAGTGAAGGAGATGAGATGAATATACCCTAAATTTTAATAATCAAATAATGCAGAATTAAGCTTGCTTGAAAAAGAAAATAGTGACAGTGTGATGGTTGTTGCTGCCCCCTGCATAGCAAGAAACAGGGCATTCTGTTACAAGAGAAGAGCATTGTGATTTTATTTGCTTATGCATTAATTATAGGCAGATTATATTATAAGATATCAAGTTGGTTTTATCTATTAAACCCCTATTTCTTTATGGCGAAAATTATAGAAGCAATTGCCTTTGTCCAAATAATGAGTCCTTAAATAGAGAAAAAAATAGGTATATATGGAAATTAATATAACTGTGATGGACTATTTATTTTATTGATTGTTTCCCTTTGAGTCTTGTTCCTTGCTTTGAAAATTACAACATTTGTGAAACTGAAATTCAACAAAATAGAAGAGAAATGGAGGGTCACTATTGTAGAAATTAATTGAAGTCTTGGTCACCCATAGATGTCTTGTAGATTACAAATGTTATTTTCCAAGAGGTGTCGAGGAAATTAAATATGGAATCTTATCATTGACTAGACTGAATTGACACTGATTGAGATAACTTTTGTAGGCTACTAATGAAATTTACTGTAAATTAGTGTCTTACCAAACTTCATTGACCCAAAAGGAATTATAAGTGGGGTTCTCCGATTTCACAAAGTTGCAGTGGAGGTTCCAATGTTGACTAGGCTAAACTCTGGTTAATTACGTAAGGAGACTTGAACCGTGGTTAACGCATCGAAAAATAAATGCTTCTCTCAGTCTCATACAGTGTGGACTACTTCATGAATTATTGATCAATTAATCTTGGTCTTCGCTAGCTATATATGATTCCAGGAAAAATCATTCAGGACTCAGAACAATCTTATACCAACCAACCAAGACCTTCTTTCTATTTCTGAATAACTAGAAAGAAAAAAAAAAAATCTACATTAACTGTATGAATGAAAATTAATTTTACTTAAAAAATAGATTTAACTATGCTGATGGATGTTAACCAAAGTGCAAAATATTTTAATTTTATTGCTTAATCTGGTTGCTTAGAAGGAGAAATATGATGGAAATATGATTAAAGTCTTGGTCTATTGGCTTGGAAACAAAAATGTCTTTGTTATTGATTTAGCATATTCATTCTCTGTTGGAGTCATTGTCTTCTTGTATACAAGAAGGCAAACTTATAGTTTACGTATCTGGAGAGTTATAGCTTGGTCTTGGGCCCTTGAAGTGAAGAACGAGGCAACAAGACTTCTTAATTTAATTACAAGTCTTGGTCTAAGTGGGATATATAGAAAAAGAATGTTGCAGTGCTTGAAGTCACTTTTCTTAAAATTTTCTTCTTACTATTGTATGGTCAATATTGAGATACTCTAATTTGAGCAGTAAGTCACACGCTGAAGCAAAAGCCTAAATGACTAGGGGTGGAAAAAAACTCGAAAACCAAACCAAACCAAAGTGGTCTAAGCCAAAGTGGAGGGACGGATGGAATTGAGCCAAAGTAGAGGGACGGATGGAATTGGGCCAAAGTGGTCCAAGCCCATTTGTAAAAGCCGATTAACTGAACATCTAAAGAGACTTGAGTATTAACTAATTCCCATCTAAGTACATTGGACACCGTCTAAGCACAGGACTAACTTATTATACCAATAGAAATTTCTACATTCAATAAACATGGGGCCTTATAAGGAGAGAAAGTAGGCGTGGAAATTAATATATGGCTATGATGTTATGACCATAAGTTTTAAGGATTATTTATGTCACATATTGTTTTCACTATCGTTCATAAGACTACTCGACCATTAATATAGCACCAAGTTTTGGTCCTTGCTTTGAATATTCTAGGAAATGTTAGAGAATTTTCTATGATCTCACGGATGTCACCAACCAATGATGTTTTTCTAATTAAAAAAAAAAATATCAAAGTCTAGTTTGCTATTCATACATGAGTATAGACACTCAGTTTTAAGAAGATTGTAAACTTTTCCAATTAATATGGCAAATATGGGAACTTCAAGTGTAGCGAAGAAACATGACATGAATGCTAATCAATGATGAAGTTATATGTCTATAAAGAAATGGTGTTATGTTTTGAAGATGGCAAATTAAATTACTCATGGCATTATTTATGACTCGTCAATATAACTATGAGTCATTGGTCTATTAACTAGAAAATTATATTGTCTACATTAATATCTGTTGTAACTACTCTTAACAGATCAACCAGAAAGCAAA